AGGAGTACCAGTGTACGACATAACTAGTGGAGGCGAGGAAGGCTACCTCCACGGCCCCTACATGCGGAGTTACAGTGGTGACAGAGGCCGGCTGACTCCACGCCCCCCCTGTACCACGGCATTACAGCGGCGGCAGCAGCGGGAGGGATACCTCCATTCCCCCCCTGCGCCGCTAGGGCATTACAGTAACACACTGAGAAAATTAATGGGTGTATAACAGTGAACTGTAAAGTGTAGTCTCGAGTCGCGTGTTAAAGTGAGCAATAAATCGAGTCACAGATCCAAACCCAGTCTACAGTCATTCATACACATGATAATTTTTACATAATTTTCACTGGCAACATGCTGCACTATCGTAACTACACATGTGCATGATCCAGCTGACCAAGCACAGAATTTTTCAACACTGTGACATTAAGTCTGAAAGTCAGATTTTTGAAGCCAGAAAAGAGTCATGGAGGTATGCATTTCCATGCAAGAGCTTGTTAAAACATGTCCCAGTGGCAATGAATATATACACAACAGGAGGACTTATTGGGGGTGGCATTTTCTAATCAGGCCTAAAATAAGATATATAAAGAGAACTGCCAAGACACAGAACCAGAGATTTCAAAGATGATGTGCATTAGGGAATGTTCCCATTATCAGAGGTGGTAACCAAGCAACAAGTACATGAACATATAGCAGGCTCAACTGAAAAGTACTGTAATTATTTGTAGATAATGAGGAGTAACGAAAGTGTTGTAATTATCTGCAGTTAAAAGTAACAGAAATCCAAATACCAATCCGAAAAGTATCTAGTCACTACCCTGTGACAAAATTAATAACATTACCCTGAGTTAAAATCTGGTTGCTAGTCCTGTAGTATCAGGAGATTTAATATCATGTACTTCAAGTGATAAAAGTTAAATTCAAGGCCAAAACTGGTGAATTATATTTCCAATTAGTGACATATTAAAGAGGTGCCTACCCTTTCAATGACATTTATCTGCTGCACAGTTGAAATGAACTGCACTTTGAGGGTAATGACAGTACTTGTACCTGAGTCTGTGCAATGCTTCAAGATCTTCCATATCAACAAGGTCCAAGAGCCTATTTTTCCTCCTTTCTTCATCTTCTGTTTGACCTTCCCCTTCATCCTCTGCTTCACTATCTGAGCTGTCTTCACTTTCTGAACTTGCTGATTCAGAAGATGATGATGATGATTCTGATGAACTTGAGTCTGAAGATTTGCTGCTCTCTGTCCTCGATGAAATTGGAGAGAGCTTGGACGACTCATCATCAGATTCACCACGTCGCTGGAAATGTGATCGTGAAACTTGAATCTAGAAACAGTACAAAAAAGTCTTTAAAAATGTAGAATCCGAACATACTGGAGCTGAATTAATATTACATTTTGATGTACAGATTGCAGAAATGATTATTGTAGATACTTTTCTGCCCAAAACACTAAATTAATTGCAGCTATTTTGGCTTTTGCATAACATTATAAGCAAATCTTGACCACCCTGAAAATCTGTATACCGACCGAGTGTATACAGAATCCTCTGTGAGTGTGACAAGGTCTACATTGGGCAGACAGGCTGTTCCATGGACATAAGGTTGAAGGAGCATCAGCGGCACATCCATCTTGAATATCCAGACAAGTCAGCTGTGGCTGAACACAGTGTCAACTTGGGATACCGCATTCAACTTCACAATACCTCCACCCTAGCCACTAAGATCTGATATGTGGATTGCATCATTAGGGAGGCCATCGAGATTGAGCTCCATCCCAACAATATGAACAGAAAGGTGTGTTTTTGTCTCAGCAAGTAATAGAAGCCTCTCATCTGCTCCCTCAAGAAACCTCTGAAACATGATGCCAGATCTACAAGGCTATGCAGGTCAGTGCGGGCTTGGCAGCTTAGCCCCAAGGCTATTGGGTCAATGCTCACTTGGTAGTCCTGCCTTCCACCCCCGCCATGATCCTATACTGGCTCTGGCCTGCTACCTGCTTGCCCATCTTTACAGACCCTTCCCACTCTCCTCTCTATTGATTTCCTATGTGGCCCAATGTCCCTCCCTTCTTGTTCTGATACAGCTGGATGTTTCCGACTGGTGGCATAGTCTGCAGCCACCTGATCACACTGGTTCCTCGCTCACGGAATTTTCTACCCTGCAGATGGAGGCGATATGTTCCTCTGAAATGTCGGTTCACACAAGATCTACACAGCGCTGCATTCCAGAAGACAGCATTCTTCATCCAAGTTCTTTACTGTAAGTGCAGATATTTATGACAGTCTTCTTGATTAGCCATAATTGTAACAGAACACCTTTATTACAGAGTTTGATCATGCATTTATGCCTCTGTATTATACTGATGCTTAAGTTTGAATGATTCGGATTCAATGCCAGTGCAAGATTTACTTAAAATGATTCTTTCATTGTTGGTCGGATTTAAACATGGTAGTAGGTTTGTGGCTTCATGTGAGATTTGAGGTTCCCATGGTGGTAGATGGGAAGACTGCAGTGTGCAGGTTCCTCTGAAATACGAGTATTGGTACCTACCTACCAAACTACATGATGCCAAATCTCAGACAACAACAATCTTCTGCACTTTCATGTTTAACAGTGTCACCAAGTTCCCATTTAGTTGCATATATAAAATATATGACTTTGTGGAAGCAGATGTTACATGACAAGAATGAATGTTAGAGTTTAGACCCTACAGACAGTCTCTTCAGACGGAGTCCTAAATTGGACTTAAAAAGGCTGCATGAACACACACGAGGGCTCAGAAAGAGTACGAGCAGAATCAGTTATTTAGAGGATAAAAATGGCAACACATCAAATAACGAATACTGCCGCCATTTGGATACTATGTGATGCAGCCTTACCTATTTACTGCTGGTAGTGATTCATAAATATAGGTGAAAGGCAGCCATTTTCATAAGTTAGTTACTTTATGAAGCTGTCGGTATCGAGATTATATGGTGTCTATGCTGGGATGATTATGTGGAACAGTTGTTTGAAGAGAACTATCAGATGAAACCAAAGTACTTGGAGAAAACGAGCCCCAGGGCCACTTTGTCCACCACAAATTTCACATGGCCTGATCTGGGACTAAATGCAGGACAGCTGAAACGTAACTGTGTTCAATTGCACCTACAAGACACACTGACTACTGCAAAGGACACAGAATTAAAGGTACCCACAAAAACTGGTTGGGATATGTGCAATTCATCGCATGGCAGATATTTTAAAAAGCAACATGATAATACAGACAACTAAATGCATGTTATTACTTTATGATCAGAAGCCTTTACGAGTTTTACTGAATTAGTCATTCATTCATTAATTCACCTTCTATAAAATCCTTACAAGGTTGAAATAACCAATAGATATAGAAATTGTTCAGATATATAAACTCATCTTGCTTAGAAATCAAGCAGTTGTCAAAATAACAAGTTTACAGTATACAAGATTTAAGTCACATCTAAAAATTTATCTTGAAAATAATAAGACACTGACAATTTTAAGATAAAAAATTCAGTCCAAATATTATTTACTAATCATGCTTATACAATATGACAGTTATTTAAAAACCAGTTTATAATATAAGACAAGTTTGAAAGTTGAATATAATTAGTCATATTACAGTAACCAATTTACAATATAAGATAAAGGTAAAAAGGAATACAAATAATAATATTTACAACTTTAAAACGGTATAATAATAAGATCTGTTATAACAGATAATTGAAGTTATTTACAAAAAAGCTTTAGTCAACTAACATATTGGTTAAAATTTCAATATAATATAATTACGCAAGCATTATCTCATAAAAATCTCTTCCAATGTGTAAAAAGAACTAAAATACAAAAATTCCTTTAAATTGCCCTTAAACCTTTCTATATCATTATAAATATTAGACAATATTAGACAGAGAGAAAGAATCATTTAATTTTACCTGCATTTCAGAATCAGATGCCTGTACCATTTCATCCTGGTCACTTTCCACCAACTCCCGCCGAGAGTCATCTTCATCCAAGGGAGGAGGTGAGGGTGCTTTAATCTTTCGCTGTAAAATAAACCAACAAACTGGGTACTTGAGATATGTAAATAAAGTGAAAGTTCCATTAAGAACTATGACACTCCTTTTAATGCTTCTTCCTGAATAAAGAGGTTAGAAGAAATGACAAATTATACAACTTAATGACATGTTTCTATGCACAACTTCCATCAGTTAGTCTCCACTACTTCAAAGTTTAACACTATTGACCTGTTTGCAATAAAAAAATTTAATATAAAATTTGTATAAATATTTATCATGACACCAAATTCCACATTTCAAACTTGACAGTTCCTCAGTTATGCTACGAACCACAGTAGTAATACAGGCCTGATGCAGCTGACATTATTTCACATTACCCTGAAAAACATAAGGCAAAGGAGCCAGGATAGCACAGTCGGTAAAGCAACTAGCTATGGGTTGGACACCACAGGAGTTGGAGTTCGAGTCCCAGTGGGGTCAAGAATTTTTCTCCACATCATCCAGACCAGCTCTAGGGTCCGCCCAACCTTCTATCCAATGGGTACTGGAGGCTCTTTCCCTGGCTGCTTTGCACCCAGGGAGTGAAGCTGACCATTCACCTCCAGCTAGTGCCGAGGTCAAGCAAATGTGGTTTTCTACATCCAATTCCCTATACCGCTTCATGGAATAGTGCTGAATTAGTTAAGCACAGGATAAATTTTATATCTACCTTTACCATAAGACTTATGGAAAAGTGTATTGGTCATTCAATGTATGTTTCATTTTTCTCTCAAACTTTACTCTGAAACATGTTTCCCTCTGATAATCATTCACAGAATTACATTCAAGAAATGACTAGTAACACAAATGGGTCTACATGTAAACTGCCCATCATACTTGTAAAATTACCAAAATTGAAACGTGTAGATAGATTGTAGTAAAACTCCCCATACCACATGTCATGAGAATCTGTTCAGCACCTCTTGGGATACTTGACACTTATAGACAAATGGATAGCTGGTGGGCACAGAAAATTAATAGGAGCTCCACAGAACTGCAAATATGCCTGCAAATTACAGAAATATATAAAAATGTACAGTGTTAAAACAAGTGTCACGTAACTTCGAACAAGGCCAAGGTAACCTTGAATGCACAGAAGAAAAATTGTATAACTGGCCGCCTGTCACTTCTCACACCCTCGAACCCACCCCCTTGTCTGAAATTTTTCTTCTGCGCATTCAAGGTTACTCTTGGCCTTGTTCGAAGTTACGTGACACTTGCTTTACAGATGCTGGATCTGTTTCTGTTTTCAGGCAAGGAAAGGGGATTGTAGACTGTCAGGTGTGTTAGTCTACTTTCAAAGGCACTGAAACCAGTTCACAGCACTCTGTGTACAGCATACTTACCCGGAATGAGGGCAATTTTGGTAACGCTGCTCTGAAGCCAAGTCCAAATCCTCCAAGACCAACAGAATCCAGGCTGAAACTCTCCCTACCCGTATCTAAAATTGAGTTTAGAAGATTCTCTTGCTTGCTGCCATGTGTAACAGTTGACAGTTTCTCAAGTGGCACTGAATCCATGTCAAGTGAACTATTCTGCAACTGTCAGAAACAACAATTTGTTACAGTCATACAAACACAGTGAATATGAGCAACTTTCCAACACAATCCTTGAACCAGCCAAACTGACTGTCTAAGCTCATTATGTCAATGACATCTGCAAATGTTATTTCATTTCAACTACCACCATGGTGCTGTCATCACCATTATTATTAGACCTACTTGGGTGTTACAAAACAGAACTATTTTGTAATTTCTGAGGTCATACCAAGCACCCTATTTCCAAGGGCTGGCATCTTGTATAACTGTTTGGGTAATTTGAGGTGTTGCCCATTAGTTTAGGCTGGGAAAAATAAGCAAGTTATGCTGGAAACGGTGTCTCCCATTATTTGTAAAGATCTTAGTAATGTTGTGTTAAATGATGTGGCAGATGATGGCAGAAAGCAAAAAGAATTTAATGCATATAGAATATCAAAAAGACAAAAGAAGTTTCTCATAAATAGAACAGATGATTTTTTATGGCAAATTTAAATTAAATTAAATAATGTATAATATCAGTTTACAGATCTCCGTCAGGAAATATCCCATATTTCATAAGTGCTTTAGGTTCTGTATTAGACAAGCTCCATACAACTTCTACAAATTTAATTCTTTGCGGTGACATGAATATTAACTATCTTGATAGTAGTAATAATAAAACTCAATTAGTCTCTCTTTTGGCTTCATATAGCTTGTATAATATAGTTGATTTTCCAGCAAGGATAGATAATAAATATTCTACGACGATAGATGGTATTTTTATTGATAAGAATAAGTTTAATAATTATTCCATTATTCCAGTTGCTCCCTCGTTGGTGTCTCCACCTTATCGTGGTGAGGTGGTTTGAGTATGCCAAGGACCCTGAGAGCTATACCAGCGGTAGCGTAGCTACTGGCAGGGCCTCCCTTGCTGGACAGGTCAAAGGGTAGGCATCAGACGAAGAGTGACACCAAAAACTGATGCCGGAAGCAGCGTCATCAGTAGTGACTTGAAGCACAGAGCAAATGATGCTCGAGATGGTTCAAGTTCGTATAGCAACAGGCGTGACCAGAGTGGTTTGAACGGCTGCTGTACTGCGATGTGGAAAGCAAATGGAAAAACTACCACATTATCACTTTTCCTGGATAGTCTCTTTCCAAAAACAGAGATACCATATATGCGAGATGTTTCCTCTGGAGGCAAAACAATCCGGAGGTAAACTACTCCCCCAATCGGATCTCCGGGGGGGAGTGTTTCTAGAGGAAATGTCATGCAGGCGTTACAACAAGAAAAAGTGCGAAGATCAGAAGAAACAGCATGGATACAAGATTGGAACATGGAATGTCAGGACCTTGAATCAAGCAGGAAAATTGGAGAATTTGAAAACGGAAATGCAGAAGAATGAAGTGTCTGTTCTAGGTGTCAGCGAAGTGCGGTGGAAAGGACAAGGTGAAATAAGAAGTGGTGATTATACAGTGTATTATTCCGGAGGTGAACGGGCTGAAAGAGGTGTGGCAATAGTGGTGCATAAAAGTGTAGTGAGGAGTGTTGTTAAGAAGATTGCTTGTAATGACAGAATTATTGCTCTGAAGTTAAAGGCAGAACCGGTAGATATACTGATTATACAAGTGTACATGCCAACATCAGAGTATGAAGACGATGAAGTGGAAAAAGTGTATGACACAATTGAAGAAATTCTTCAGGAAGATGGAAGAGGAGACACAAACAGCATCATATTGGGAGACTGGAACAGCATTGTTGGAGATGAACCATATCAGAATATTGTTGGATCACATGGACTAGGAAGACGGAATCACAGAGGTCAAATGCTTATTGACTTTTGTGAACGAAATGGATTGATTGTTACCAACACTTGGTTCAAGAAGCCAAAGAGAAGAATTTACACATGGAAGGCACCTGGGGATTGGAAGAGGCATCAGCTGGACTACATCCTTGTGAAACATCGATTCAGAAACAGTGTGAAGGATGTGAAGACGCTTCCTGGGGCAGACATTGACTCTGACCACAACTTGCTGGTTGCCAAGTTCCGAACCAGGTTGAAGAAAATTATAGGATTTCGAAAGCGCAGACCCAGATGGGATTTGGAGAAGTTATATGCTCAAAGACAAAGCGTGCAAGAGACTCTAGAAGAGAAACTCGGTGCAATTGAAGGTGAAAGCGGAAATGCTGAAGCGCAGTGGAACGATATAAAAGAATGCATGTTAGATACTATCAGTGATTTGGTAGGTAAAGTTGAGAAGATAGCAAGAAAACCATGGGTTACACAGGAGATGATGAGTAAAATGGAGGAGCGAAGGAAATGGAAGAATGTCAACAATGAAGAAGGCAGGAGGAAATACAGGAGACTGAGGAATGAATTGAAAAGAGCCACGGACAGGGCCAAAAAGGAATATCTTGAGAAGATATGTAATGAGATTATGGAATTTCAAAGAACAGGCCGTTATGATTTGATGTACATGAAGACAAAAGAACTAGGATGGAAAGAGAATCATGGGATTCAAAATGTTGGCATCGAAGACTCCCAGGGGAATAGAATAGTAGATCAGAGGCAAGTGCTGAAAATTTGGGAAAATTATATTTCAGAACTATATGATCGACCTAATCGGCCAGAAACCTTAGAAGTTGAACCGGAAGAAGAAGTAGATACAGACGAGAAAGGACCATATATTTTACAAAGTGAGGTGGAAAAAGCTATCAAGGAAATGAGGAAGGGAAAGGCTACAGGAGATGATGATGTACCTGGAGATGTGCTCAAGTTACTGGGAGAAGGTGGTTTGAAAACACTGACAAAACTAATGAACACCATATATGAAAGTGGAGAGTGGCCCAAGGACTTTACAGAAGTTACAATGATTGCCTTAAAGAAAAAGACAAAAGCTACAAAATGCAGCGACCATCGCACAATAAGTCTTATTGCACATACAGCAAAGATAATAGCAAAGATACTTAAAAGAAGAATTGAAAGGAAAATAGAGGATGTACTTGGAGAAGATCAGTTTGGATTTAGAAGAGGAAAAGGAACCAGGGATGCAATTGGGATGATGAGAATTATAGCGGAACGAACTTTGGAGATAGATGAAGAACTGTGTGTTTGCTTCATAGACTGGCAGAAGGCATTTGACCGGGTAAACTGGACCAAATTAATGCAGATCCTGAAAGAAACAGGTATCGATTGGCATGAAAGAAGATTGATTAGCAAATTGTACATGGATCAGAAAGTTAGAGTACGACTGGACAGGGGGGAGACAGGAAGTGTGCAGATTGGAAGAGGAGTTCGACAAGGATGCTGTTTATCACCAATTCTGTTCAACTTGTACAGCGAATGCCTTACCAAGGAAGCTCTGGATGGGCTCGGTGACTTCAAAGTAGGAGGGCAAATTATTCAAACTGTGAAATATGCAGATGACCTTGTGTTAATGGCTAAGGAAGAAACTGTGCTACAGGGCATGATTGATAGACTAATTGAAATTGGAAGGTGCTATGGCATGGAAATGAATGTGGAGAAAACAAAAGTAATGAAAATTTCGAGACAACCAACCCCAGTCACAATAAAGATAGACCAAAAACAAGTGGAGAATGTGAAATGTTTTAAATATTTGGGTAGCTTGTTAACAGATGATGGAAGGTGTACTTGTGAAATTAAATCCAGGATTGCCATGGCAAAAGCTGCATTTAGCAAGAAGAAGAATCTTTTTACCAGCAAATTGGACTTAAATTTGAGGAAGAAACTAGTGAAATGCTACATTTGGAGCATAGCTCTGTATGGGGCTGAAACATGGACACTTAGGGCAGTAGATCAGAAACATCTGGAAAGTTTCGAAATGTGGTGTTGGAGAAGAATGGAGAAGATCAGTTGGACCGATTATGTGAGAAATGAAGAAGTGTTAATTAGAGTCAGTGAGCAGAGGAATATCCTACATGAAATAAGAAAACGGAAGGCTAATTGGATTGGTCATGTTTTACGCAGAAACTGCCTTCTAAAAGAAGCTATCGAAGGAAAGATAGATGGGCGGATAGAAGTGACAAGAAGACGAGGAAGAAGACGTAAGAAGATGCTGGATGACCTTGGGGACAGAAGAGGATACTGTCATTTGAAGGAGAAAGCTCTAGATCGCATTAAGTGGAGGAATTGTTTTGAAAGAGACTGTGGACAGATTACTGATGATGATGATGATGATTCCAGTTGTGAATGGGTTATCTGACCATGATGCACAACTGTTATTATTAGAAATTCAAAATTCGAAATTTTGTTGTTATACCAAACGCCAGATAGAGTGAACATTAAGAACTTTAAGTTTAATCTAAGCTTTGAAACATGGGATGAAATATTCACAGATGGTGAGGTCGATGAAATATTTAATAGTTTTCTTAATACTTACTTGAGAGTTTTCAACAATAGCTTTCCTGTTCGTAAAATTTTCCTCAGTCATACTAATAAAGCTTGGTTAACAGTCGGTATTAGGAATTCGTGTCAACATAAAAGAAATCTTTATATACTATGTAGGAATGTAAAAAGTCCTATATTGCTTGCCTACCATAAAAATATTGTAGAATATTAAGAGAAGTTATAAAAGCTGCTAAAATAATTTATTACAATAAGCTGATTGTTAATTCCAATAATAAGACAAAAATAATATAGAATATGGTAAATAATGAGACTGGTATAAATAATAATATTCATGACCCTCTGCCATTAATTAAGGATGGAAAAAGGGTTAACAATAAGCAAAATATAGCAAACGCTTTTAATCTATATTTCAGTACTATGATGGATAATCGGTTGGACAACTCACATATAACTTTAGGGTCAATTTTAAATAAAGATAAATGTTTTTGTTACTTATCTTCAGTATCCATATGACCCCATTAATACAAGGTGGTTCAAGTATGACCGGGACTGATTTGTGTGTAAACAAGCCGCACTGCACAGCAGCTGTGCGACCTTGAGAGAGTGAAGCCACAACCTCCACCCTCCCTCCTGTTCGGGTTAGAACCTGTTCAG